CACTGCTACTCTGCAGATCTTCACAGGGATAGAAAATGTTTGGATAGTCTCTCACTTTCTAGTCTGTGACCTTGGTCAATTACTTGCACTCTTTGCCTCAGCCTCTAGCAATATAATGGGGATAAATAACTGTATCTTCCTCATCGGGCTGAGGTTAATTCATTAGGACTTAGAACAGTGCCTAGCTCACAAGGAAGACTCAGTAATTATTATCTACTAGAGGCCTGTTGTACAAAGAGATTCATTCAATAGGCCTTCCCTTCCCTTGGCTGCTGGCACCAGTTTGACTCTGGCACCCGGGACCCAGGCCTTCGCTCTGGCCGGAGCTGGCTCTGGAGCCTTCAGGCTTTGCTCTGCTGCTTGGCGCCTAGGTATGCAAATTAACCACCATCTTTGTTGGGTTAATTTGCATACTCTCCTGATTGGCTGGTTAGCATAGTGAAGGTACAATCAATTACATGTTTGTCTATTATTAGGTAAGATAATTCCTATCACATCTTTTATACTGCACTTTAGACATTCCCCATGTCTTGTTTTCTTTTGTTAGGTGCTTATCCAGCCAAATGGCTCCCATCCAATAAACACCAGGGCGGCTTGTGGATGGAGGAGTCAATGTAGGTCACACCACCCTTTCTAAGATGGACAGTTGCTTGGATGACAGTGATCACATGGGCCAGGCAGTCAGAGGGAGACAGAGAGATCTGGGTTTTGTTCTGACTCTAACATATATTGTGATATATGTGTGTGTGTGTGTGTGTGTGTATACACAAATACATATATATAGTGATTTTTTGCAAACTACTTAATCCTTAGAGCTTTAGTTTCCTTATCTATAATATAGAAAAATACCTTCCTCCGTGAGTTGTCTTAAGAATTAAATGATGTAGACCAAGACACAGGTTTACAGACACAGGCACACAGAAGAAACTCTATATGTGAACAGGTTTCCATTTCTGCTTTCCTCTCTCCACTTCTCTTACCAACCCTCTGAATCTGAACTTCTATCCTATGGGTTTAGTCAAGGATTCATAGTAAATTGTAATTGTAATACAACAACAACAACAAACCTCTCCTAATGGACAGTTTTCTTCTTCTTTATAGAGGAAATTACCCCACTTTGCCATATAAAAAAGGATCCACTTGCAGTGCTTGCCCCCAAAATGACAATTGTTTGGACAATCTGTGCGGTGAGTAAAAGAAACAACCTACCCATAATACAATGTTTAAACGATTGTAACTTTCTACAGTTAAGAATGCAAACCTTTGTTTTATCCTAATAGCTATTATCAGGAATAGCTATTAGGTTGCAATCAAACCAATGGCTCATTATTGTCTTAGCACTATATGTTTAATATAAATTTAAAGAAGCAATTAGTATCCTTTTTATTTAGCTCTAATCAGTACAACACAAAAATGACTATGGTGTTGAAAACTATAGACCCAAAATTTGCTAATTTCAGCAAGATAAAAAATTTGTATAATGAAACTATCCAAATGAACAGTATTCTGAATTTTATGATATACCTGTCGGAGGCACTCAAGGCTGCATCTTCATCTGTAGAATAAATGAAAGAAGCTGTAATGGGGCACTTCTTAAATGAGCAAAACAACAATATTTTAATGAGGATGGTGTAGAAAGCCAATGAAGATAACTTCAAGGATGTTTTACTAAACATCCTAGCAAAATTCTGCTTTGTAATTTTGAAATAATAATCCATAACTGGCCAAGAGTTTATTTATAAGTTCCTCTTCCAGACACATTTCTTTGCATCCCAGTATATTTTTAAATTTTTTCCTATGATGTGAAGAAAGGAAAACTCAATTAAGCTGTTGAAGTTGTGCAAATCCTTTTGTGTAGTACTTTAGTGTCCACATCTGTAACGCACTGAACTCCCAGAGCTCCAGGGCTGGGGTGAGGTTCTTAGAAGAGAGGCAGGACAGAGTGAACCTAGTTTAACTGCATAAATTTTGTTTGGCAAAAGCGTTCAATTGCTTACGTGTTTTCTAAGGCCCCTTCTAGGTCTAAAATTACAAAATTATTTTAAACTGCCCGTTCCTTTTCTCCCGATGTAAACAGTTAACTCTCATCTTCCCTCCAAGAACAGTAACACTTTATCGACCAGGTTTCTGAGCCAGTCCTGTCTCCCTAGTTCAAGTATTCTTTATTTTACTCATACCAGTTTTGTTAGGAGAACTTGGTAATGTGTAGTCCAAGTGCAACAAACCTGTTCTCAGAGTATCGATATATTTACTGAATTTTCCCTTTCATGTTGCTACAACACTACAAAGCAAATTATTATGTTTTACAAGTTAGGTTTTATAGCATAGAAGTTAAAACCATAGATTTTAGAAACAATATGCCCAGGCTTCCAACCAAGATGGCGGCATAGGTAAATGCTGTATTCACTTCCTCCCACAACCACATCAAAATTACAACTAAACTACAGAACCATCAATGTTGAAAACTGTGTGAAGTCTAGCAGCTTCACAGTAACTGAACATAGAAAAAGCCCAGGTGTGATCAGGGATGCTCACAGGTACCCAGAGGGCCAGATCCTTTTTGGTTCTACCACAGGAATCCAATAGCAGCTGGAGTAGGATTGGTGTCAAAAGGTGTCTTGACTATAAAAAAAGTATCAAGAAGGCGAAGGCAAATGCAGTTTTCTTCTAGTGCTCCAGTGTCAAATTCTGAATAAAGCTAAGCGAAGGGAGAGGAGTAGATATGACTATGATTGCCAAATGCCCCTATATGTAATTTACCAACATAATGAAATGGATGAGAGAGGCCACTGTCCCTCTTTTACTGACTGATCATAAACAGCATCATTATTCTAAAGGAGGAACTTATTTTCAGGAAAATATTTTAATAAATTGCTCATACTCAATATTACTAATATTTTTTATTTTAAAAATTTAATGTTTTAATATTTATTTTAATTGGATTCATTATCTGTTAGATGTGATATGTAAAATGATTTTCCATTTACAGTAGTGGTACATAAAAAGTTTAGTTTATATAAAAGTTGCTTTAAAAATATCAAGTGAGTAGTTAGTACAATAAAATCTTTAAAAAGTAACCTTTGAAAATCACTACAATAAAGTCAAAGCAACAGTTAGTAGTTATAATTAGAAACTTGGTTTTAAAAAATAAAACAAAAGCCTCCCCAGTACCTACTCTTTTAATTTTTTTCTTCTCTCTGATTTTACAGTTAGCACACAGCGAGACAAACTCACACGTATGTATATAAATCTTAATGGTTTCATTAAAGTCTTTGTGAATTATGTTACTGCATTATGAAAATAACATTTAAGAGGATATTTTATGTTTGTTTCACAGGTTACTACTCTATTGTGTATCCAGACTGGCCGATATATATACGTAACAGATCCCTCTCTCTCTTTTTCATTGTTAGTCCACTAGTACTAATCCTGGCTGCTATTATTACCATCTTGGTCAAGTACAAACATTTAGTTCTTTTGGACTAATACAATCCAGAAAAATACAGTTTACAGACTTGCCCGGCCAGTGTTGCTCGGTGGTTGAGCATTGACCTATGAACCAGGAGGTCACTGTTTGATTCCTGGTCAGGGTCCATGCCGGGGTTGCAGGCTCGATCCCCAGTAGGGGGTGTGCAGAAGGCAGCCAATCGGTGATTCTCGACTTCATCATTGATGTTTCTATCCCTCCTTCCCTCTCCCTTCCTCTTTGAAATCAATAAAAAAAATATATATTTTTAAAAAGTTTACAAACTCATCTATATAAGATGTTTTAAAAATAACAACTGGGTATAATTCTAAGTTTAAAACATTCCAGAAAAAAATTACATTGCTTCAGTAAAGCCATAACCAAAATTGTTCAAAGTCCTCACTCTACAGGATAAACTCACCTTTACTTTCCATGTTTCTATGAAAAAGTACTATTTTCAGGCTGCCACAGTGACTTTCAGTTAGTAACCTAAAATGAGGGAGCTAGCCCTAACCAGTTTGGCTCGGTGGATAGAGCGTCGGCCTGCAGACTGAAGGGTCCCAGGTTTGATTCCGGTCAAGGGCATGTACCTTGGTTGCAGGCACATCCCCAGTAGGGGGTGCGAAGGAGGCAGCTGATCGATGTTTCTCTCTCATCAATGTTTCTAACTCTCTATCCCTCTCCCTTCCTCTCTGTAAAAAAATCAATAAAATATTAAAAATAAAATAAAATGAGGGAGCTAGATTTCAGTGATTCTAAATAAGTCAACAGGCCTTCATGAGTATAAACATTTCTACATAACTCTTGCATGCTGATTCAACTCTAAATAATCTGTTTACCCAGTTGCAATTTGAAGTGTTTTTGGTTTACCACTTTTCTGGATTCAGAATAGAATAGTAATTAAGGAATTTGACTTAAAGAGGCCTTGCTTTTTTTGCTTATGAGTTGTTTAATCTTGGAACACGACATAAAATGAGATTACAGAAAGGAATAAGCCTAAATGTTTGTTATCAGTAGAGAGAGCACTGGAAACTCTGCATTTGTTTTCCTCAAAACCAAATGCTGGGACACAGTTGTAGGTATTTAACCAAATCAGACATTCGATTTGTTGGATAATTACAACAGTCACATTTCAAAAATCTTTACATCAAACGAAAGAATTACTCCTAGCCCTGGCCGGTTTGGCCTATAGACCAAAGGGTCCCAAGTTCGATTCCAGTCAAGGGCACATACCTCCCTTGCAGGCTCCTCCCTGGCCAGAGCCCTGGTCAGGGCTCCTGCAGGAGGCAACCAATCGATGTGTTTCTCTCACATCAATGTTTCTCTCTGTCTTTCCTTCTTTCTTATATTCTCCCTAAAAATCAATGGAAAAGTATCCTTGGGTAAGGATTAAAAAAAAAAAAGAAAAAAAGAATTTTTTTTTTAATTACTCCTAAAATCATGCTAGACAAAGCCTGCCTAGAACAGATTAGGTGCAATGCACATAAAGACATATATACCGCTCTCTAGTACAACATTGTTCAACAAGCACATGGAGAATACAATAATTTATATTTTTAAAGAATAGCCATACATATAAATACTCTCATAAAGAAAAACACATTCAGAAAAAAAATAATCAGAATATTACTTCTTACACATAAGGCAACTAATGCCCTAAGTGTCCTTTATAAAAAGAGATAGCTTAGTAGGTTCTAGTTCAGGTTGTGTGTGTATTACTTTTTTTTCTTCTCATCTGCTTCCATCTTAAGCTTAACTTCTTCAGATGTGAGAGCTCCCAGTTTCTTAATCTTTGCTTTCTTAACCTTTTCCTTGATGGCAGCCATGTCAATTTTAGTTTTAATAGAAGCTAGACAAATAAAAAACACAATATGTGTATTTCTTTAGATTTTACCAAGTGAAACATAAAGAATATATATTTAGTACAATTAATTTCAGAATACTGTTATAATTGGAAGTTAATGTTATAAAATACAGCACTTGCCATCAGCCTAAAGGAAAGTTAGAAATGTCTTTAAGAGAAAATAATAATAATAATAATAATACTTTAAAAATACATTAGTGAACATATACATAAAAATGGCATTATAGTTTAGCTACCTGAACCAATTACTGGATTTAACTGGATTCAACTACATTTTTTCCCCTTAAATCACACTTGAAATCATATTATTTTTACTTATATTCTTTTCTATATTTTGGTACCTTAAAGTACTCATTAATATGCCAATTTTCCATCTCGTATGCTAAAATAATTAAAAATTAAATTTTTAAAAATGTTTATTATTGATGAGAGAGATAGAGAAAGGGATAGAGATAGAGATATAGAGAGAAACATCTATTTGGTGTTCCACTTATTTATGCATTCATTGGTTGATTCTTATATGTATGTACCCTGACTGGAATTTGAACCCATAACTTTGGTGTTATCGGGATGATGCTCTAAAAACTGAGCTACCTGGCCAGGGCAAAATTACATTTCATGAAGAATATTACATATAGTCCTTCCAGCTTCATTAATTTAATTAACTAATCAGGAAATTATAGGTCAAAATATACTTCATTTAATACCCCATAAAAACTTAAAAGTTTTCCAAGTATTAGTTCAATGAATGACCAGTAGAATTTTTTAAACAAGATTTTGGTAATAAAAATAATAATCTGATAGTATTTACATGTCCTTTTAACAGAACTCAACCACCTAATCAATGCCATTTGAATTTTATAGACATTGGTACACAAGAGGATGCAAAACAGGCATCAGATGCATGACTAGCTCTCTTTATCTTTAATATACCAATGTAACTCAAAATTGTTCTTTCACATCAATCTAATAGAGACTTTTAAACTTACCATAACATCACCAAATTTAAGTGGACTCTTCAACAAATACCCGTCATAAATAAAACAGCTCATTATACCATGGTTACATTTCCAAGAACAGTCATGAACTTTGCACACAGGGATATATTTCTCTCAAAAGGCTAACATAAATAATCTGAGTGTTAAATTAAAAAAAAGAGTTTCAATATAATCTGAAATAAACTGGAAATTTGCAAAGAAAAATGAATTAGTCACTTATAAAGATTTTAATTAGCCAGGCAGAAGGTAGAAGGGGATTACTATATTGCAAAATATCCTACAAACCAGGCAGTGGCTGCCAACTGAATATAATAGTTCCTTCAACTGCTTTTAGTGGCTGCTAGATCTTTTATAATAGTCAACCTTCTATCAACTCCCTCGTTGAAGAAGCTGGGTAGTTAATATAAAGAATGCTTGATTATCTTTTAATAGAAAAAGGCAGAATTCTGAAAGATCACATCTCTAAATATAATGGGCTCACAGTTTTAGAAAACAGAATTGATATCTACGACAAATTCTGTGAAGGCTTTTTTATATTAGAATTATATAATACATTACAATGTCCCTGTCAATACTGAGCTCCATAGAGATCCAAACTTTCAGGGAAGTAACTATAGGACTGGAGTAGAGTTGAGTAGGCTAAACTCTACCTCTAATAATTTACCCCAAATAGCTCTGCTTTATCTGTTTTGTCTATTAGACTTTTATAAAAATTTAATTTCTGTAAAGGGTTCTGTAGCTAAAAGAAGTCTGACAACCACTGTTATAGGAATATATAATTAATACTCATTTTAATATTATAAATTGAATGAATATTCTTCATAGTAGATATGACTACTTTTCGAACCAGAAATTTGCAAAGAAAAATGAATTAGTCACTTATAAAGATTTTAATTAGCCAGGCAGAAGGGGATTACTATATTGCAAAATATCCTACAAACCAGGCAGTGGCTGCCAATTGAATGTAGTAGTTCCTTCAACTGCTTTTAGTGGCTGCTAGATCTTTCATAATAGTCAACCTTGAGTACAATGATGTTACTCAATTGTACTGTGAAAATGTGACATATAGAACGAGTGTAACACTCCGCAACTGCAATTTAGAGGGAAGAGAGCAGGATTCAGAGTCAGAATATGTGGGCTCGAATAATGGGACTGCCACTTTAAATGGAAAGACACTTAATTTTCCTCTTCCAGCTTTCTCATTTGCATTGCAGAAATGGAGATACCTCAAGGATCTGTTGTAAGAACTGAATAACGTATTTACACTTTATAGAATTACAAAGTATTCAATGTATTTAAGTTATTATTGCCCCACAAGAAAAGGGCAGATCATTTCTAAGAAGGAGATCCAAGAGAGTTCTATTAAAAGCCCTGGAAAGGAAGAAGCAAGACCTCACAGCCAGATCCAGACAGTAGCATCAAAGGGAGCCAATTAGAACAGTATCTGCTCAGCAGATTTCCTCATAACAAGTTTAAAATAAATGTTCATGAAAACATTATAATAAGTTCAAACAAAAGAAAATTTGAGTTTGACCTCAACTGGCTGTATACATTCCTGCAAATAACAACATCTGTTCAGTCCCTAATATTTGAGCACATGTAACTAAAATGTGTAGTGGAAGGAATGATGGTGTGCAGACTTTCTAACTGAGAAATGGATGTCTGTAATTGTCAAAGGTTGGCCATAATATGTTAGGGTCCAGGAGCAATGGCTCCCTCAAATTCCATGAAGTACAAAGCATTTACTAATGGGAAATCAAGCAAAGCACGTTCTAAAACAATACAATCATAAAAAAAAAATAACCAAGTTATTTAATTTGTTCTCTGCTGAAAATTAACTAAATATAGTAAGTCGTTCTCACCTCTTTTAAGCCACTAAAAAGTCCAATGGCTGATACCGTGTTTCCCTGAACCATAATTCAACAGTTTAAGAGTTCCAATGCCTACATCAAAGAACAATAAGTTGAAATTCAGTTGAAATACACTGAAAAACTTAATGACAAAGAAGATACTCAAGTTTCCTACTGATAAAAGGTACCTTCAATGTAGATCCTTTGGGACCAATAAGCCATGATCCTCTTTTTACAAATCTTTTTTTATTTCTTACTAAACAACTTAATGATATCGCATGCAACCCCATCCTGAAGAATTCATACTGCCTTTTGAAAAAAACAAAGAAATATTCAACCGATAGTCTTTACAAATACTTTTATTTTTTCAAAGCCCACACTGATATCTAAGCAGAATAATGAAAACTCTATGGAGGAAGGGAAGGGATGGATAGAAGCAGTGCTATATCATCTCTAATGGCACAAATAAAGCAGAATCTCTGTAACTGTAAATTTACCTGTTCAAATGAAACACTCCTTGCTAACAGTTTTATTAGTTCTCTGACCCTAATGATGATGTATGGATCAAAAGTCGTCTTTGTTGTACAGTCATGCGCCCTCGATCAGGTCCAGGGTTGCATTAACATGCTACACAAGCAACCGCCTAAAAATGAATTCAGTTTAGATACTTACATAACCTATCCCTAATCTAACCATTAATTACTATGAATTAATCTCTCTCTAAAATTCTATCAAACTCCCTCGTTGAAGAAGCTGGGTAGTTAATATAAAGAATGCTTGATTATCTTCATACGAGAATATAGAAAGGCAGGCAACTGAAACCATTATGCTTACTTGATTTTAGAATACTTTGTACTTAACATAATAAATATATTTTTTAAGATATATTTTATTGATTTTTTACAGAGAGGAAGGGAGAGGGATAGAGAGTTAGAAACATGGATGAGAAACATTAATCAGCTGCCTCCTGCACACCCCCTACTGGGGATGTGCCCGCAACCAAGGTACATGCCCTTGACTGAAATCGAACCCGGGACCCCTCAGTCCGCAGGCCAACACTCTATCCACTGAGCCAAACTGGTTAGGGCAATAAATAGTATCTCTAGTTGAAATATATATATATATATATATATATATATATATATATATATATATCCATCCATATGAGGCCATATTTAACATCTAAGGTAAAAATGCAAAGCTATCTGGCTTCCCTATCATGGACCTAACTCAAATCCACCATCTTATCCTTAGGGTGAGAATAGACTTCCCTTTCCAACTTTTTTTCAAGCTGGTTTCTGTTAGCTAAATACAAAGTCAAAACAAATTATCATAAATTCGAAAAGAAGCAATAATTGGAAAATTCTGCATCAACTCTCAGTACAAAGAACCAGATTTCAACAAAGCAAATAAAAATGCTATTTTTTGACATGTGAACATATTCTGAAGAATATTTCAATATACTGAGTGATAAACTATTCAACATAAGGCTGGATCACTATGAGTTTACCAAAGAGAGAGAGAGAGAGAGAGCCCAGCCGGCGTGGCTCAGTGGTTGAGCATCAACCTATGAACCAAGAAATCATGGTTCAATTCCAGTCAGGACACATGCCTAGGTTGCAGGCTCTATCCCCACTACGGGCCAAGCAGGAGGCAACTGATCAATGATTCTTTCTCATCATTGATGTCTATGTGTGTTTCTGCCTCTCTCTCTCTCTCTCTCCCCCTTCCTCTCTGAAATCAATAAAAAATATATTTAAAAAAAATCTACCAGCATACAATACTTACTTAAAAGTAAAGGTATCAGCAGAGCAAAATCTCAAAGAAATACATAAAATATGCATACATGTCCATTCAAGGCTTTCTGTACCAACAGCCAGCACTCTTTCAAGTAAGCCTCTCTATACAGGGGTAAGTTTACAGTTCATTGTGACATTCTTTTGAGTTAATAAAGCTATTGTAACAATCATAACCTGCATGTCTTTTTCCATATGAAAACCATGAGCCTACTTTTGCCCATCTCTGTATTTGGGAACAGAGATGCAAAACTGCTTCCCAAGAGTCCTCTGGGTGTGTCCTCTGGAAAAAGCTGGATCCTCCCAACCATCAGGTACAGTGAGGAGTTCTGATTCATCTACAGGAAAAAATTACACATCAGATTTTAACCTACTTTTGGACATTTATACGCATACATTTACAAGCTTCCAAAACTCCCTTTGCATTTCCTTTTCCTATGCTTTTTAGATTACTCAGTAGTCAAAGAACAGGCCTCTACCATTACCAACACACTATTAAAACTACTTGTACACATTCTGGATGTTAGGAACCTCTTAAATCCAATAGCTATAACTTATATCCGTACGACCCAAAGGTATGGTTCATAGGCCTGCAGCATGAGCATAAACTGCAGGTGTTGGAAATGCAGTTGTTGGCCTCCAGCCCAGACCTGCTGAATCTGAATGTCCTCACCCATGTCTGTGTCCTTTACCATCAGCCCTTAACTCAAATACAGACCGATCTCCTATCCACGGCATCCCTCATTTGGCCAACGACTTCCAGCCATCGCCGCGGTCTAAGGTGTGCCCTCCGCAATTTCTTAGCCATCATGTTACCAAAGACGAAGTCCGCAACACCTGCGCTCTGGGAGCGTTTAGCAGAAGCGATTATTAGCAACACCTGACCGACACCATATCCGCCAGACGGTTCCGCAGGCCCGGCCAATACCCCTAAAAGCCAGCTCTTTTGGGTACTCAACTTCAGAGAACAGACCCGAGGCGGCGTCACACGATCGCAACTGAACCTCCACACCCGGGCTTCGGTGCTCACACCACCTTACCTCGGTTCTCCTGCTTCTGCTTCTGGTTACGAAATTCACTCTTCCCAGCCGCCGGGGCTGGCCCGTTCGCCATGGAGGTCGCCATCTTGGAACTGCTTCCGGTGTTACCGGAAGTGGAACGGTTCTTAAATCCTTCCGGCTAAACTCCCGGTACTCACAATGAGTGCCCTAGAACTTCAGGCGAGGAGATCTGCGCAGTCTCCGTGCGTGCCCTCGCTAGAATCCCGCGGATTTGTGTAACTAAGGCCTTTCTCAAGTTGCCAATGGAGAGTCAGGGACTTCTTTTTCAGGGTGCACCGAAACCACGGAGTTTGCCTGCATGCTGGGAATTGTAGTTTAGCATTGTAAGTTGGCGATGGGTTCCGTCTGTATTTTTCCCATGGCCTCAGAGTCCAACCCGGGAGAACGGACTCCAGGGTTTGGCCGCAGAGTGCTAAGTGACTATCACTGATGTCACTCCTTTGATAAATACTTATATGATAGTCACATAGGTGGTTGGCGAGGGGAAGGTACTAATATGAGAATATATGGATCTCAATGGCAGGAAGTGACAGTAATAACTCCCATTTATTATGAGATTACTTTGTACAAGGTATGTTATGTGCATATATCTAGTCCTTAAATCCAAAGTTATAAAGTGAGAAACTAAAGTTAAAACAAAGCATGATTGATACTTTTTATGGAAGATAAGTTTTCAAAGTCCTTGTTTCTGATGGTGATTTTCTAGGGTCTTGGTATATCTCTAAGTCAACAGGACAGTAACTACGAAGCACTTCTGAAGTATTCACTTCGGCCCAGCGGTTCTCAATCCGGGGTCGAGGCCCCTGAAAATAATCCTGCATATCAGATATTTACATTATGATTCATAACAGTAGCAAAATTACAGTTATGAAGTAGCAACAAAAATAATTTTATGGTTGGGGGTCACCACAACATGAGGAACTGTATTAAAGGGTCGCAGCATTAGGAAGGTTGAGAACCACTGGAAGATTTCTCACCCTGACCCCACACTACCCCTACACTGCATATTAGCTGACTTCAAGATGTGAGGTTCATCACTACTACAAATCTTTACGCTTCTAGGAATCTAAAAGTTCTTAGACTCGCTACAGATAAGACCATTCTTTTGATGATTGGTCTTGTTTTCTGCAGCACAAATAGAAGAGGTCTTTGATACGCTGAATTCCACTCTTCAGTGAAATGGGAAAAGAATGATCTGAAATCCACCCTTGTGGATTTTATCGTCTATAAAAGATTCTTAGGCGGTATGTGTAGAAAACAAATTCTTACTTAGGGACAGAAGATCCCAAGACATGATTATGTTAAGATTTTTGCTTTTATCCTGTGTCTTATAGGCAGTGATTTTATCCCAATATTCTTACAATTTGCTAAAAAAAATTACAAATCCCTATAATAGAACAAATAACAGATGAAAGTTATAAAGTGAGAAGCAATTCCTTCAATGTTCCCAGAAAAACCTAGTAGTGAGATAGACTTCAAATCCAGACAGTCTGACCATTAGTAGCTCTGGTACAAGGAGGGCTGGGTGTTTAGCCTTAAAGCTTTGGGACTTAAGCTGCAACAGCACCAATTCTCTGGGTCTCCAGCCTGCTGGCCCACCCTGAAGATTTTGGACTTTCCAGGCCCCCATAATCATGTGAATATACTCTCTCTCTATTGTTTCTCTGGAGAACCCTGACCAATAAAGAGCAAATCCTAATGGTTGATAAACATATTACACTGTCAGAAAAGCATAGAGATATAACAATACCACTTTTCACCCACCAGATTGGCAAAAAAGAAGTAATAAAAATATATTTTTTAAATGATAATCTGCTGGAGGAAAGAGCAGCCTTAGACAGTCTGGTAGAAATATAAACTGTTACTGTCTTTTTGCAAAGTAATCTATCAATATAATATATATATATATATATATATATATATATATATATATCCTTCCATAATCATGTTGTTGCTGGAAAACTGTCAACTAGAAATAAACCACCATTCCATTAGGACGTATATACAATTTTGTTGATTTCTGTCTTGTATAGAAGTAGTTCAGGCCCTAGTAGGTTTGGTTCAGGGGATAGAGCATCAGCTGCAGACTGAAGGGTGCCAGGTTTGATTCTGGTCAAGAGCATGTACCTTAGTTTCAGGCTCAATCCCCAGCTCTGGTCTGGGCTCATGTGGGGGCAACTAATCCATGTGTCTCTTTCACTCAATGTTTCTCTCTCTCTCTCTCTCTCTCTCTCTCTCTCTCTCTCTCTCTCAATGAAAAAATATCCTCAGTTGAGGATTAACAACAACAACAAAAAGAAGTAGTTCAGTGAAAGGTACTTTGGAGCCACACTGATAGTTTAGTGCCTACTGGCTATGTAGGCCTGGGCAAATTTTCACCCACCCCTATTCAGTTTCCTACAACGGAGAGAATAACTTTAACTCAGTGACTTTATACATGTAAATTGCTTTAAAAAAGTGATTTACATATAGAACACACTTGGTAGATATTAGCTATTATTTATAGTGGCAAAAAATAAAAGCATCTTGACTATCAATTAGAGATACAGTTAAGTAAATTGATGTGACCTTCATGATTGTGAGATATTATGCAACCATTCATAAGAATTAAATATATATGGAGAGATTACCTAGAGGCATTGAGTGATGAAAGCCAGATACAGAAAGATGGGATAATTATATACATAACTATAATTACATTAAAAATTATAGTAGTTATATATACACATATATAATTATCCCATTTTATAAAGCAAATCAGTAATTCATTCAACAAGTATTTATTGAGCATTTATTGAGCATCTATAATGTTTCAGGTGCTGTTCCAAATACTTGGTCATGTTCTTTGTGTTGGGTATAATAATAATTATATATAATTATTATTTTACTTTATACATTACTTTACTAATTATATAGATGGATAGATAGATAGATAGATAGATAGATAGATAGATATTCCTACAATGAAAAACTATTTGGAAGGAAATACATTAAACTTTCAAGGCTGCCTATCTTAGGGATGAGGGTGATTAGAAAGAAAATGCAAGTAGGAAAAACGACTAGAGATGATAGGTGTTCATTATGAAACATCAGGCGTATGACTTTGTTCATGTAAAACTGTCTGTGTGTGTGTGCCTGCATAGGGAGATCTGTAAAATGAGAGTCAACAAAATGTTGACTATTACCTCTCAGTGCAGTGACATTTCAAAGGATGGTCATTTAAATAACAATAGTCATAAATCAATTACAACCGTATCATTTTATTTTAACATGCTTGAGTATCTGAGTACAAATATGTACTCATATCTGCAGGGTTATTCCCAGAAATTGCACAAATAACACTAAAAGGGGAAAGAAAATATATCATCTCTAAAGAGTTTCTTGGCATAAATCTGGCCTGGAACGTCCTCTGTGGGTCACAGCAACAGCAGGCAGACCTGTTTTGACTGTGGCTTTCCCCTTCGTGGGCCCCTTAGGCAATCTGGACCCACATACAGCCATCCTCGTCCTCCTACAGATGTGCTTCACCAGCCTTACCCTGCTCATTCACTTTCCCATGCAAAGCAACTTGGCCTCACAACGCTCCTTTGGACTTAGAGGCCTTAATTCCCACAAAATTAACCCAGATGTTATGGGCAGAGAAATCAGGATGCAGCTTAACAATGTGGGGAATTGGGGGTTGCACCTATCTTTTATTAAGAGCAAAAACACTGGGCAAACAAGCATGGTTTACTTTTCATTTAATATTTTTGTATTCATTTACTAGCATAAAAATTATTTTTGCACAGGAATGTATTTTTTTAAATAAGCAATTAAGAAAAGATTTCTCCAATACGTAGGTTTGAGCGTTTTTTATTTTCTAACATATGCAAACTGCTTGCTACTCTAGTCAACCTCACAGGAAGGTTTAAAATCTTAAAGCAACATATATCTACCCACATCAATAACAGTATGCTTGTAAAAATAAGGCCCCTTCTAACTCCAAGTGATTGCCTAATAAAATAGGGATCTAGTGATAACAGTCAAGAAGACACAACACACTAACGCAGCCTCATTCTAAACTAGCCATTTATTAACATGTATTTAGAAAAATGATGTCAATAAAAGTGAAGTGTTCTGCATGAAAGCTTAGGGAATGTGGGAATCTAGGAGACCACATTTGAGAAGCATATTTAGCCAGCCTTGGACTGTTTCCGGCTGTGCAACAGGATGTTTCATGTGTCATTCCATGGTTGGTGCTGGGATGAACTATCCCTGCAGAATATCCACCTCATCCTGCAAGGCCACTCATGGTAAACTCTCTAGAGAAGGAGATATGGTGAACTGCTTTGGCTGGTAGCCAGCAGTTGGGTCTTGGGTAGGCACTACTTCACCAATCTTGTGGTTCTTGAATTGTAAAATGAGGGAGCTGAGTTAGGTTACTTTCTCAAACTTTAGCCAACCTCCGAATCAGGTGGGGGGATGGCCCAATTCTCACTTTATAGTTCCGTAGGTCTGGAGTAGGGCCTGAGAATTTGCAGCCCCAACAAAAAAGAATTATCCAATTCAAAAGTGTTGAGAGTGCCAAGATGGAGGAACTTTCATCTATAGCTGTTCTTAATTTCTGTGATTCTACTGTAAAGGGTCAGTAAGTGCTTCCCTTCTAACCAGGCCCGCCATGAAAGCACAGCTCTTTTCCTCTGTGTTTATCTACTTAGGGCAGCACTTGCTGTTCTTTATGCTGGCCTCCTCCATGGGCAATCTTGCTTCATTTCCCTCTGCTCCTGTCATTCTGGAATCCTGTTGTCTCGTTACCCAAACAAACAAGGGCACTTGTACATGCAGTGGATGCTTGAGGTCTAAAGACACTCATTCTGCTTGACTGTTGGTCTCTCCAGGCCCCAGGCCCATGAAACATTAATATTTCATTGGGAAAGATTGCTATTTACAGGGCAATCTTTCTTCTTTCTCTTCTTGGTTGTTCTTATTGATAAGCAATAGCTTTGATTTAATTTTAGTGCACTATTCTTCTCCCTAAAGAGAGGCTGGGACACATTTATGGTATTAGGTTCCACCATAGCAACAGAAGGCTTTTTAATGCATGCATGAATATTCAAGATTTAATCAGTGGCATGTGAAATGTGTTGATACCGCTGAGAATTATTTTATGAAGATAGAACAAGCAAAACTCCAGTCTTTTATTTGTTGACATGACACTGGGAGAACATATGAACTTCTCCAGAAAGCAGATTTCTAGTCAATTGTTAAATCTGTATGCCTCTCCCATCCTTCAGATAGTGTTAACTGCAGATGGCTTGTGATGAAGTGAACTGTTTAGATCAGTGGTTATCAACCTTGGCTGCACATTAGAATCACCTGGGAATCTTTTTAAAATCCTGCTTTCTGGGCCTCATCCTCTGGAAATTCTGTT